TCGTGTGAGGGCACAGGGGCATGAGGGGGACGGGGGCAGAGGGTGGTGAGGGGATGGGCATCAGGGAAAAAAGGGCAAAGGGGGCAGGGGCAGTGAGAGAAGGGGGAGGCACCAGGAGGGTGCAGGGGTAAGGGAAGGTGCAGGTGCCAGAAGATTCTGGGGGTGAAGCAGAAGGACAGACACCTGCAGGGGAGGGACCAGCACCAGAGGAGAGAGGTGAGGGAGGTGTTATGAGGAGGGGTAGCTCACATGATCAGAGTGGGGCTACAGGAGGAGTGGGCACGGGGCGGGGGGAGGCTGGTGGAGGAGGCGCAGGTCTCAGGAAGGCCGAGGGCAGTGAGAAGGGCAGGAGTCAGGACAGCAGAGAAGGGTGAGGGGTTGGGGGGCAGCAGGCACCCAGGGAGTTGATGGAGCAAGGGGAGGAGACATGGCAGCAGAGGGGAAAGGTAGATATTTATTAATAACTTGGGTGTCACAGTGTCACATCCAAACAAACCACATGAATTCAGTACTGGTGCACAACACAAAATTTATTCTGCTCATGGGAGGAAACTCTTAGAGGGAACACTTCTCTCCCCCCGACCCCTCCCCCTGCTTCTCCACCCCCGCATTAATGTCACACACATTGGATTAATGCAATTGCAGGATAGTTGCATGGGGGGGGAGGGTTGGTGGGGGCCAAACTAATCCCTATTGGTAGGAGGATGGTGGGAAAAGTCCTTGGGTTGGGGGTCACATAACACTTTTTACTTTTGGTCATGTGCCCATCTTGCCCGGAGAGGGTTACCTCCAGGGGCATGGCTGCACACCCTAATGAAATGTGTTGTGCACGCCTATGGTCAAGGGGAAGCCCTTCCTTCCTGATCTTTGTGGGTGACCACCTGAAGCATGAGATTAGATTAGAGCTGTAGCCTTAATACAGAGCTGCGGGGACAGTGCTGGCAATCCTTTTCCCTCATGGCCTATGAAGGAAGGGGTTTTCCAAGGTCAGAAGTGACTGTCTAGCCTGTGCCCTCCTGGAGTGACAAATTGCAATAGTTCAGGGAGTAAGTGGACTGGTGTATGGACAGGTTCTCCCAACTGAGTCCTGTGGAGGCCCCATTCTTTGGGCCTGTCTCTCTGAAGTATTAGTCCTGGGGATTGGCACCACACTGCGAGCAGCCATGCTTGACCAGCCATGCTTGACTTACTATGCCCTCTTTGGGGCTGTAACACCCTATAAGTGTTGCTAGGACTTTGAGGAGACACATCTCATGCTTGTTTGCACCAGGGAGAGCTGAGGCCAGTCCCTGATCCCTTCCCTGGGAATTGTGGGATGGTGTTTGAGGACTGTCAGCTCCCACATGGCTTAGCCTACATCCTCACTGTGATGTGGGCAGGTTACCAGCCTGAGGGAAAGGGACAACAGAGCTTTTAATCCTCTCGCTCAGGTTCAAGGTGTTTTTATGTTTGGATGGGGTGGGGGGTTCAGGACATCACCTGAATAAGATCCTGGCTAACTCTGCAGTAAAGAGATAGGACAGGTTCCTGCTGGCCATACCAGCAGCTGGCCATGGATAAAGAGGGCTACAGAGCTCAAGTAGCCCCAGCCATGGCTCTCAATTCAAGCAGGCATGCCCCCTTTCTTTCCTGAATTAGTCTGACCCCTCCACTCGACACGGTTATTTGGCTCCTGCTGGCAGGCTGTCCCGTTCAAAGCGGCTTTATGGGCTCTCTTAATCATGATTCCCAAGAACTGAAGGCCCCACAGATACCCACCTGTCTGCCCTCCTATCTAATGTCAGCTGGACTGCTGCCTTGAATTCTTACTTGAACTAAAGCAGATCAGAGGAAAAGCAGTCCCTCTGGATGGGAAACCTGGCTGGCAATTGGAAATCCCCCATATTCCCCTCCCTGGGAAAAATCCACTCCTTCCATCCAGTTTGAATTTGTCCAGTTTCCAGCTTTTGGGTTGTGTTGAGCCTTTTGTTTGCTAGTCTGAAGAGTCCATTATCCAATCTCTCAGCAGGGCCTTATAGATGGGGATCAAGTAACCCCCAAACCTTCCCTCTGCTAAGCTAAACAGATCAAGCGCCTGGAGGCTCTTGCCACAAGGGGTGTCCTGAATCCTTTAATAATTCTCTTGGTTTTTCTCTGATCTTCTCCAAGGCAGCCGCATTCTCCTTGAATTGTGGTGCCAGGAGTCCAGCAGCAGTTGCACCAGGCCCAAATCCTGGAGGAAAATCATCTCTGCTCCCATTCAAAATTAAAACAGCTCAGGCCCACACAAGCCCTCACAGCTGCAGTGTTGCACTGGGAGCTCACAATCGCTATGTCCTTTCAGAGCTGTTGAGTCTACAGTCGCTGACTGCTCGGAGAACCTCACTGGCTTTGAGTCTTTCTAACCCTGCAGTGTGCTGGGGGTGACTGATCTGTGAAGGTCTAACGGTGAATTTAATGGTTAACCCTGACGCCTAAGACCCGAAAGACACTTGTTATGTCAGGGTTTATGCCAGGCGTGTGAATAAAGAGCTAGGTGGACCAGCAGTGCAGTGCAGGGAGACAATGAGGCAGCAGGAGTGGTCTTAGTGTGCCAGCTGCCTGGCCGCTTTTAAGCGTTGTGGGTCCATAGATGTGCAAGCCAGAAACTATGTTGGATCATCCTGGCCGACCACCTGTGTAACAGCTTGTTCAATTGTGGAGCCCAGTCACTGGTACATCTTCTACCAAGCTTAGATCTGGTTGGTCTGGTCTGAAGACCCTAAAAGATGGAGGAACCCATCACTTGCCTTGGCAGTCTTACAGTTGACGATTTTCCCCCTACACATGCCTGGCTGGGAAAAATAAATCACATTTTCCCAGTCTCTAGAAGATTTGACACAGCAAGCTAGTGGTAGCTAAACCCCATTGCTGAGGGTCAGAGGGAAATCATAGGGGTCTGTAATCCTTGTTCAGTAGCTTGGTTATCACTAAATTCTATAGTGACTGACCCCTATACAAATGATGGATAGATGCAATTAAAAAAAGGTTTAACGTCAATAGCAAATATTTGTTCTCAGAAAGGTGATATTTTGCTCCGCTTGTTCACCCCCATCCAGATTTGCATGGCTGAGCCAACGGCATTTTCTTTAAGTCTCTCTCTGTCATATTGATCCCCGCCAACTTTATTCAATCAATCTGGCGCATTGTTCTTCCCTAACAATACCGAATGAGGAAATGCAGGAAAGACAACGTGCCTTGTGTTCATTTTTGATGACACACAGATCCCATGGTCCTGTTTCTGCTCATAGGTAAATATGGCCCTTCGTTGTCTTTGTCCGAATATCGGGCTGGTCAGCAAATCAATTGAACGTACCTTCCTTGAGGGCGCACCTATTGAATGACTCGCCCTACCATACCTGGTTTGCAAACACTTTAGGCATGACTAGCATAAAGGCTTAATGCCATTGCGTGTACACATCACGCAAGAGTAGTAATGATCTGAGAGTTACGGGGTTTTTTTCCTCAAATATCCTTCACAGGGCATGCTTTGAATGATGATTATCGAATTAGGATTGGCAAAGACTTCAAGGTCATCTAGTCCAGGACCCTGCACTTGTGACAGGACTAAATATTATCTAGATCATCCCTGAGAGGTGTTTCTCACCTGCTCTTAAACATCTCCAATAACAGATTTGATCTTTTCCCTGAGCAGTTTATTTTAGTGCTTAATCATCCTGACAGGAAGCTTTTCCTAACGTCCAGCCTAAATCTCCCTTGTTCCAATGTATGCCCATTGCTTCTTGTTGTAGCCTCAGAAGTTAAGAACATGTTTTTCTCCCTCCTCCTTTTAACAACCTTTTATGTATTTGTAAACTGTTACTATGCCCCCCCTCTGTCTTCTCCGGATAACTTCTTCCATCTTCCCTCATAGCTCATGTTTTCTAGCCCTTTCATCATTTTTGTTGCTCTTCTCTGGATTTTCTCCACATCTTTCCGGAAATGTGGTGCCCAGAACTGAGCACAGTTCTCCAGTTGGGGCCTTGTCAGTGCAGAGTAGAGCGGAAGAATGACTTCTCGTGTCTTGCTTATGATGCACATGCTAATACAGCCCAGAACGTTTGCTTTTTAGTAACAGTGTCACGCTTTTGACTCCTACTTAGCTTGTCCACTGTGACTCCTAGAGCCCTTTCTGCAGCACTCTCTGGATGGTCACTTCCCATTGTATATGTATGCAACTGAGTGGTTCCTCCCTGAGTGGAGATCTTTGCATTTGTCCTGATTTGATTTTCATCCTATTTTCTTCAGATCATTTCTCCAATTTGCTCAGAACATTTTGAATCTTAATCCTGCCCTCCAAAGCACTCACCACCCCCTCCGGGCTTGGTAACGTGCAGGATATGACCTGGGGGCACTTAGCCTGCGGCTCTGTCCGCAGAACTCAGGCAACAGGGAGAGTTTGAAGGCTAGTGGGAGGGGATCTGGCATGGGCTGCAGAAGCTGCTCTCCGGGGCCGACTGGGGGTGGCATTGGCTTTCGGGGGTCGCTCTGCTCCAGCGCCAGAAGCTTGAGGCTTGGCTGTGCCTGGTGCAGTAGCTGACTCTGTGGTTTGGCTCCGGTGGAATGTGACATAAGAGCCCAGTAATCGGTGGGAGCCTGTTCCTCTTGGAGGCAGGCCCAGCCCAGGAGGAAGTCAGGCTCTGGGACAGAAATGCTCCTGGCTAGGGACCGGTGCTGCTCCTTTGTCAGCCTGGAATGGTCAGAGTGCTGTCTCGGGTTCTGGGAGGGGAATGGGGGCAGGGAGCCAGGACTCCTGGGTCCCATGCCACGGGCAGGGTGACAAGGTGAGGGCATACCATGGCCAGCACCCATAACCTTGACCTGTCCTGTGGCTCCAGGGACCTGGAACTGAAGAGCTACAGGGTGCCAGGCTGAGCCAGCATGTCCAAAGATGCCCCTTTCTGGTTTGAGTGGTGACATCAGGAGCAGGCTACCGAGCGTGCCAGGGCTGGAGGGGCCCTGGGAATTTGCCCAGCAGGGGGAGGGAGCCTGGCCTGATGGCACAAAGACAGGGTCACAGCCCCCTCTTCCCATCCTGTCACTGGAGCGAGGCAAGGGGCAATTTGGGCAAGGTATGGTTAAAGGAGGTGCCAGCTGCCCTTTGGGATAAGCCAGGGTGGGTGGCTGGAGCCAATAGGCATGGCTAAGCAGCAGGAGCGAGGGGTTGGGAGCTCTGCTGTGTTCTTTCTCCAGCTGGCCCCACTTCTTTCCCAGAGCGGGGGAGACAACCCAAGAGTCCTGGCTCCCAGCCCTCCTGCTCTAACCACCAGCTCACACTCCCCTGCTACAGTCAGGGAGAAAACTCAAGAGTCCAGAATCTGAGCAGGGGCAGTGTCTATCTCCGCTCCCCTGTGTGTGCCTGGGGTGAGGGGACCTGGGATGTGCCAGGCCCTGTCCTGTACTCTGTCTGCCCCGTGTCTGTCCCTGAGCCGGGTGCTGGCGGGCAGGGCTCGCAGGAGCTACCCACACTCTTGTCTGCCCTCTCCCCACAGCGGTTTGAGAAGAAATACAAGGCAGAGCTGAGCGGGGGCACGGTCTCCAAGGGGACGCAGTTCGAGTACGCTTGGTGCCTTGTACGCAGCAAGTACCCTGATGACATCAAGAAGGGTGTGGCTCTGCTGGAGGGTGAGTGGCACCCAGCACTGGCCAGCTCCCGACCTGCCCCCACGGCTCTGCTGGGCTCCCTCCCCACCCCGGCTGCGGAGCACATCATGGATTTACAGGGTCCAGGCTTCTGGGGGGACCCCTCCCACGTGCCGGTGCTCCAATGGCAGTCGTGTGGCCTCAGCGCCCCAAGAGTGAGCGTTTGCTTCACCCTGCCTTCTCTTCCCCTGTAAAGACATGCCCGCTCCTCTGGGGCCAATGTACCATCTGTGCCACCTAGCAGGGTGGTCCTTAGGTTAGCGTAGAGAAGCACAGAGTAAGACGGTCTAGACTGGCCAGCACCGAGGCTCTACCAGCCAAGCAGCTGTGGGTCCATCTGTCCTAGGTGGGTTGCTGGGTGTCTGTTTGTGAGCCCTGTTCTCCCTTCTGCATTCCTCTGAATCAGCCCGGCCCCCTCCCACTCCCCCGCTCCAAGGTTCCGGCTGGTTCTCCCAGTCTCTGCATTGTAGCCCGGAAAAGCCCAAGCGGGTCTTCCCACTACCTGCCCTGCATCCCTGCCCCCTCCACCCCTGGGTTAGCAACACTGGTAACATCATCTCCACTCTGTGCCTTAGAGCTGGTACCCAAAGGATGTAAGGAGGAGCAACGGGACTACATCTTCTACCTGGCCGTGGCCAATTACCGGCTGAAGGTGAGCGAGGGGGCATGGCTGCCCTCTGGGAGCTCTTTGTCAAGACAGCTGTGGTTGTTGGAAGGACTGGGGGGGGGGAGCACCAGGGTGTAAGTGGGCTGGGGTGGCTTAGAGAGAGCTGTGTGTGGGGCAGTGGCCACAGGGCCCTGCGACGAGGTTTCTTGGGAGCTAGCGCAGTCTAGGGTGCGCTGGAGGCAGTGGGTATATGGGCCCCAGGGAGCTGGGACTGGGGATGCTTGGGGTGTCTCAGAGATGGGCTGAGGGGCTGACTGTGCCCTGGTCAGCAGAAGAATGCAGGGTAGGGCAGGGAGCAGGCTGTGGGGCTGACCGCACCCAGAGGGGAGCCGCTTCCAGATTAACTTTCCTGGCCACGACAGCCCCCATCAGGGTGAAATGGATGCAGCCTCGTCACTTCTGCTCTGTGCCAGGCACCATTCTGCCTGGCTGGGGAATGCCAGGCTCTGGCTCTTGCACTGAATCCCAGCGGGGGAACGGGCAAGTGACATACCCGCCTTATCACAGGGCAGCTACTAAGACTCTATAAACCCCAGCTGGGCTGGGCATGGGGCTGGGCGGGGCCCTGTTATGTCCAGGTTTATGGACTCTGCCAGCGTAGTTCGTAAACACCGAGGCGCCAATAGGTGAGATAAGACCAGGGGGAGGTGTCTGTGACTGCTGTGGGGGAGGAGCGAAGAAAGGCAGGGTGGGGTGAGAGGATGCTCAAAGTGGCTCAGCAAAAGGAGGGTTATGGGATGACAGGATTGGGGGGGGCCGGTGCCTTAAGGCTGGGCAGGAGAGATTGAGAGCCCTGTCTGCCAGGGTAGGGGCTGGTGGGGGAGGGAGGGCACACCATGGGTGCTGATTGCCCCCTCCCCCCAGGAGTACGAGAAGGCCTTGAAATACATCCGGGGACTGCTGAAAACAGAGCCCAAGAACACGCAGGCCATGGAGCTGGAGAAGCTCATCAACAAGGCCATGCAGAAAGGTCAGCCCATCCCGTCCTAGGCTCCCCCTGCCCATGGAGGGAGGGATCAGCAGCCCAGGCTCTGCTCTCTTGATCCTGCCGGCCTGGCTCCGGGTGGCTTCTGCCCCACTCCTCTCCGCCAGCAATCCAGACTCTGGGTCTTTCTCTCGGCCCCACCCATGGTCATTCCAGCTGTGCCCCTCCCAGCTCGCTCCTTCCCAGCATGCATTGCCTTACTGGCTTGCTTTCATCGTTGCTGAGGCATCCCGGCAGAGCTGGCTAGATTTTCCCAGCATGCACTTAGGCAAACCAGGAGGGTGACTGGTGGAAGCTCTGCCCCTTGCAGCCCTCCCCCGACTAAGTCCTGTGTTCTCTCCACAGATGGCCTGGTTGGCATGGCGATCGTTGGCGGCATGGCACTGGGCGTGGCTGGCCTGGCCGGCCTCATCGGATTGGCCATCTCCAAGTCCAAACCCTAACCCTCCACTGAAGCCAGGGCGCCCCCTTCTGGAGACCATGCGCTAACTATGCTCAAGCCGCTAACCTTCCCCCTCCGCAGCAGTTCCTCGGTGCCCTGGGATTTCCCCCACTGCTCTGGGGAGAGGCGGGAGGCTGCTGGACTAATCAGTGCAATAGGTAATCAGGTCCGTGGAAAGAGGCTCATCCCCTTGGGCAGCTGGGGGACAAGGGGATTGGCCAAGAGAGGGGGATGAAGGTCTCTGAGGTGGCACTTCTTGATTGGCCATGTCTCCCACAGCAAGGGCGGAACAGCTGACTCTGGCTGGCCCTCGCCTGTGGGGTTTGCCTGTTCGTCATCCGCCCAGCATGCAGTCCCACCTTCCCCCATGGCAGGCAGTGCTTGGGAACGGGTGGTGTTTCTACTGCTGCTGGTCCTGGAAGATGCCAGGGGACAGG